TTTCTTATCGAATTTGATGACTTTCTGAGACGAATTAATGTTATTCCAGCACTTTAGCACCTTACTTTGATTTTACGTAGCGGAAGTTTCTAGAATTTCTCCAGAAAATTCCACGTGTCTTACCATTTCTGCGCTCCTTTTTCCCCCTGCCACGTGGCGCTGACCCTTGAGGAAAGGGGAACACGCGCGCTTACCTATACGCCCTCCCTTTCTCTTCCAAACCGTGACGTGGCGGCCTAGTGGCTAACGCTGTTGAAATTTGTTTTCGCATCCAGGGTTCAATCCCCACCAGGGGCAAAACTTTTTTATTTTTTCTTGAGAGCTAAAACTAACAATTCTGATCAATATTATAGACTTTTTGATGATTTCCAACCCTTATTCCTTCCATTTTTCAGGCTTAAACCGGAATTGTGAGAATTTTTTTTGAGTTTTGAGAAAATAAGAAAAATTGGTTCTTGATTTGTATTTGTAGGCAATTTTCCTATGAAAATTTTGTTGTTTTAGGCCTGAAACTGGTCATTTTTCCTTATTTTTAGCTCCATTTTCCGAAGAATTGTTACCAGCCATTTCTAAGTTTCTGATTGAATTTTGATGATTTTCTGAAACTGACAAACATTCTTCAGCACCTTACTTTCATTTTTCATAGCGGAAGCTTCTAGAATTTCTCCAAAAATTCCACGTTTCTTGACGTTTCTGCGCTCCTTTCTCTCTGTCTGCCACGTGGCGCTAACCTCTGAGAATACAGAACACGCGCGCTTATCTATACGCCCTCCCCTTTCTTCTCAAGAGGTGACAAGACGGCCTAGTGGTTAGCGCTGCTGACTACCGTTTTCGCATCCAAGGTTCAACTCCCAGCCGGGGCAAATCTTTTTTACTTTTTCTTGAAAGCTAAAACTAACAAATGATAATCAAAATTATAGACTTTCTGATGATTTCCAACCCTAATCCCTTTCATTTTCCAGGCTCAAACCTCCTCGAAGTCTCCAAAGGCCACGGTCCCTATGCTCGCCTCTGCAATGCCATGTCGATCGCTTATGACCTCCGTTACAAGATCGAAAAAACCATTGTTCCGATTGCTGGAGAGCTCATGAACCTTGACGAGCCGACTTCTAATCTTCTAATGGCATTTGACTCCAATGCAATCTCCGCTTTGTTCGATTCTCTAACTCTGACACTAGATGCTACGGAATTGGAGCAATTCGGGAATAAGATCAAGGAAATTCAACAGTTCCGGGTGAATTTCAACAACAACAAGCCGGTTTCGGATGTAAAAGAGAAGCAGTATGGCAACGTCAAAGTTTTGGCAGAGTTGGATCTTTCAAAATATGACACCCTTGTAAAATCCTACGAGGAGTTCACTGAGAAATTGAATGAGTTCGACAATGAACCGACAACAGGGAGTACAGTAACATCAGCAGTTAAAAATAGTGCGAAACTTCTTGCAACATATCTTGAGATCCATCTAGACTACTCCGAAAAATTGGTCTCGCAAATCGGAATATTAGAACCTCTCAGGATAGAGTCGACTCCTTTCGACAGTTTGGAATCTCAGATAAAGTTCCACAACGACTTCTTCAAAAAGAACCTCTTACTTTGGATCGGAGACAATATATTTGATCAATTCGAGAGACTTCTGGAGCACTCAACAAATCGGGACAACGTGATTCACTCTCTCAAAGCTATCCAAAACTTGATCGACGTGGCAGAGAAATCCGGTCCTCAGAAATCATTCAATCGAACTTACTCCCGTGCTTTTGTGCCAGGAACTTCGGATTTGGAGACGTTCGAGAAGGAATTGAATAGTCCGAAATTCAAGGATCTATTCGAATCCGAGGAGGATTTACAAAGTATGCGAAGAGGTTTCAAACGGCTCATGGAGTTTGGAAAAGCTGTCACTACATCTCGTCCCGGGATATATGACAAGGCGAAGGATCAAACTCTCAAAAATCATTTGAAAGAGTTTCTGGATCATATTCTGAAGATCAGTGCTGATGGATTATACTCTTCAAGCATCGGGAAAGTGAAGAAAGCTTCGAAATTGCAACCAACAACTCTGACGAATTTCAAGCCATTCATAGCATTGACTGATCAACTCAAAAAATTTAAAGCAGCTCAGGATGCCTATGACGAATTGGTGAAAGAACTGAAAGATCTGCAGAAGGATCCGAACTTTAAACACTGGATCGATTATAAGCAGGCGCTAGAGAATCTTCAAAAAATACTCAGTGACATCAAAAATCCAGTGGAGCATTTGGCAGTGAAGAATAGTAAAATCTACAATAAAATCAGAGTCGTAGATACGGATTTGATCCAAAAATTCGGAAAGATCAATGAGGCAGCGACCAAGATGAAGCAGCTGGCTACGGACTCTCTGAATCTGAAGACCTACGTGGACCCAGTTGAAGAACGCCTGAACGCAGACTTCAAAACCTTCTGGCTCAATCTGAATGATGCACCGGAGAAAACCCTGGAAATGATCAAGCTTGCCAACGATCATCTCGGTTTGAACATGGATGGCTACAAGAAGACTTTGACCGATTTTCAATCCAATTTCATCGGAGAAATGAGTTCTATCAAAGAGAAAACGGGATCGGTTCCAGTGCCCGAATTGAAGGATGCAATTGATTTATGGCATCAATATGCTTATCGGAGGTTGATCGAGGAGAAACTGATTGCTGGATTCTTGGTCTTCGGATATTTCAATCAAGTACTCTCTCGGGAAGCTGAAATCCTATCAGCTCTCCAAAAAAACTATCATACTTGGTTGATAACCGCTAATGATACTCTGGTGCCGATAAAATTTTTCGAGAAGATGTATCTCCCCGAACACGCTTTGGATAGAACGGAGAACATGTTCGAGCAATTGAAGGCGCTGGATCAAAAAATCGATAGCAGTAAGTTCACCAACACGAGGGAGCTGGAAAATTGGCAACTCGAAATTTCGTTGACTGACTGTCCGGAGGTTGTGGTGGCTGATTGGATCGAGGCGAACGAAATCTTGGCTCGCTCCTCTGATGTGAATCAAACAATGGTCGCTGAATCCCTGGAAGCTTGCAAAAAGGTACAGGATTTGAATTTGGACTGGGCCTACCATAAGGTACACGCGTTCTCCGTGATTCGAGGAGTCGACCGGCTAAGGAACTACATGCATTTGGTATATAAGGTGAAGAAGATTTATGAAAAGCCGAAAGTGCCGATGCCAAAGAAAAAGTGAGTTATTCATCAGTAAAAAATTTTGAAAAACTAAAAAAAAAAATTTTAGAGCCCACCTATTGGACCCAATCGTCATCATCGTTCTTTTCATTGCGATCATCCCGACCGCCTATGTCGCATCCCGGTATGTCAGGTACTACAACGAAAAGAAGTACGGACAAGCTCGAAGAGATTTCCTTGCGAAAAAAATGAAGGTGATCACAACCGAAATCGCTGCGGAGTTGAAGATCAAAAAGGAGGATTTCTACAGTATCAAGGAGTTGTATGACTATCGAGACGAGGTTCGCAAGATTTGGCATCAGAATAAGTCGGATCCAAAGAAGGGTGAGTTGGGAGGATTTAGAAAAAAAGAAAAAGAGATTTGACCCCAGCGGGGATTGAACCTGGGTATCCAGATTCAAAAGCGGGAGCGCTAGCCACTAGGCCGCGTATGCAAGTGACAGAGGATAGGGGTGAGGGCGTAGAGGAGGGCGCGGAAAGAGAAAGAGAAAGAAAGGGGGGAGGGGGGACCGCTTACCTCTAGAAAATTTTTCGAAAACGGGGAGGTCAGCAATCGCGCTCTATTGATAAACTCTTGAATTTTTTTCTAGTGCAAGCACGCCTCTACTTCCGACGCCTCCTCGAAGAAGCTCGCGACAAGGGAACCCCCATCGAGACCACCATCCAAAGAATCGCCGAACAAATCCAGGATTCCTACAAAGAGTACCGTGGACCAACCCGTGTTCAACACGAGATGGGAAACTACTTCCTTAATACCGTCGGCAACATGGTCAGCCTCCCATGGCGTCTCTACAGAATTATGCGGAACAACATCCCGGCAAGACACATCTGGCAGTTCATGACCAGACGGAAATTCAGTATTCTCGTCGATTTCCAGACGCTGTGGTATGGTGAGTGCCGGTTTATTAGAAGGATTTATTTTAACCTAAATTTGAATTTTTAGACGATTACCAAGTCGAATTGGACACCTATGTCCGTGGAAAACCGAATCAATACGTCATTTTTTGGAGTGAGGAGGTTCCGAATCCATTCAAAAATGTCGAGATGAGACTGGTGGTTAGGACTAGAACGTAAGTTTTTTTTGTAGTTTTTGTAGTGGCCTAGAAATCCAAAAATTGAGAAAGTTAGGCCATCGCTTCTAAATTTTTGAAATTTATATAGTTAGATGCGCCTTTAAATTCCATAACAGTTGGTCTAAAAAGCAGATCGAAATCTTGATTTTGAGCCAAGTTATAGTCGAAATTCTGGAAAATTTTATTCTGAGCAATTTTATAAAATTGGGCATAACTCGGCTCAAAACCAATATTTTTGAGTTCTGAAAAGTGGAAAGTGGTCAGGAAGCCAATTGGAACAAAAAACAACGTTTTATAGTCAAAATATTCGAAAATTTTATTCTGAGCAATTCCACAAAATTTAAATTTCTTAGAATCTTTTAGCCAGCTCGTATAAACCTGTATTAATCAATAGAGAATTTTTCGATCTACAAATCCAAATTCAAAAATCAATATTTACTTTTTCAGAGAGTACGAGATGGTCTACATGAGATACCAAAACTTCCCCGTTGGCTTCGCTCCATTCGAATTGACTCCGTGTCAAGTGATTTTCGAAATGATAGATGAGATGAAGGATGAGGATGGTGATGATAATGTAGCCGTGGTGTGCATTGATCGGGATGCCGATTCGAGATCGTGCATTATGCCAAGTGAGTTGGTCCTTTCCCTCTGTCTGCGCTCTCTTTCTTCTCCTCCCCTCTTTCCTATAGCGCCTCGCCACCTTCCTCTCTTTGCGATTGCATGGCGCAGCCGGTAGCGCTGCTGCCTGTCAATCTGATTGCGCGGGTTCGACTCCCGACACCTCAAAACCATTTTTTATTTTCCAGTGATCGACAACATGCTCCACGTGATGACCTATGGTGAATCCTTCGACGATTTTGCCTGTATTGGTGAGATAATGGCTAACCAACGACGACGATCCATTGACCTGGTGACAACCGCTCAGATCGAGTTTTGTCTCTATGTGTGCTTCAAAATTATTAATGATGTAAGTGCGCCCCATTGACGAATTCCGAAAAATTTCCTCATTTTTTAGGAGTCCGCCGCCATGAAGCAACCAATGTTCAACGAGGACAAGACCGAATTCATGAGACAAATCGAGGACGCCTGGGCTTCCGCGTGGCTCAGAAACTACGAAAAGTACGAAGCTCACTACCAATCTCAAAAAATGGATCGAATCTACAAACCGAATGATCGTGACCAACACTTCTATCCACAGTCGAAACCGCATTTGGATAAGATGAAGGAGGAGGTGATTCGGATGATGGAGAGGAGACGGGATTACGTGATGAGTAAAGGAGAGCCGGATCCGTACACGAAGGAGACGAAGAAGCAGGCAGAGGAGAGAAAAAAGAAGCAGTAGGAAGACGTGATAATTTACTTGTAAAATTATGTAATTAGGTTCTTTTTTTCAAATTTTTGGGTTAATGATAATGAATATTTTGTGTTTCAAATCTTTTACAGGAATCAGATAATTTTAAAGAGGGGAAAGGAAAATTAATATGCAATTTTTGGAGAAAATTGGATTTGGTTAAATATAATGAAAACTGGACACAAAAAGGGAAAAAGAACACATGAGGAGAGAGACCATGAATCTTTTGAAAAAAAAACGGAGGGAAATTATGGAAATTATGGTACAAAATGGTGGGAATGGGAGAAAATTAGGGGTTTCGAGGACAGAAAAATAATTTTGAGCGCAAATTCAGGTCAAAAATCGTCAAAAATTCAATTTTTCAGCCTAAAAACGTTGAAATTCCGAATTTTCACTATTTTTAGGCTGATTTTGACTGAAAAATGGCTCAAAATCACCCAACATCCGAGAAATAAATTAATAAATATAAATGGAACAAAAAATGTGTGTCAGGGATCAGGGTTAATTATCAAAAAATTATTATTGAGTGACGAAAAATTCGCTGAACAAGTCACCATCATCCATATCGATTCCGATGGCGTCATGGAGCACCGCGTCGTTCACAAATGCCTCCGGAGCCGTGTGAGTGGCCATTTGATGAGCCAAGTGTTGTTGGACGGATTGAGCCAGTTTTTGCTCCAGAGGCCCCGGCTCGGGAGCCTGATTCATCAGCATCGTTGGTGGAGGTTGAGCGAGACGGTTCTCCTGGATATGGGCCAGGTCTTTGAGCTCTTGTCCGATATGATTGAGTTGTTGTTGAACATTCATGTGAGCCATGTCCGCCATGTAGTCGGGGATCGTGTTTTCAGGTTCCTGGAATTCAGGAATTTGTAATGAAAAGTTTCAGAATGCCCGCGATTAGGGGCTTGGTTTTCTTTTGAAAACAGCCGATTTTTATGCTAGATGCACCTTGAAATTTTCTACAAATTGGTGTAAAAACCGACTTGAAACCTTTATTTTGAGCCAAGTTACAGTCAAAATACTGGAAAATTTTATTCTGAGCAATTTCATTAAATTTAGCGTAACTCGGCTCAAAATCCATATTTTTCCATTCTAGAAAGTAGAAAATGATCAGGAAGTTCTAGAAAATCGCAGTTTGAAAAAGCTAAGTCACAAAAACGATTTTCTTTGGAAAATGACTCAAATCTGATCAATCCTGGTCGAAAATGGCTTAAAATAGGTCAAATTTTGCCAGAATTTGAATGAAAATGATCTGAATTCAACCGATTTTCGGTTGTGCGTGCCTCTGAGGACAACCCTAATTAGTCTTTTCCGATATGACCTAAATTTCTGAAAAACATCCTATTTTTAGCTCCTTACCACTGGTGGTGCCGCAATCAACGCCTCCTTGACCTCCTTCAAAAATCCAGTATCAATACCCAAGTTGGAGAGCGATGCGACGTCATTGACAAGGGATATAACCGATTCGTTCTGTAAAAGTGGTCAAAAATGAGTGGGCGTGGCTGGAAATTCTGTACCTTATACTCCTCATATGCCATATAAATCTCCTCATCCTTGGCGATTCTATCGGGTTTTTCGAGCTCTTTGACAGTACGGGAGTGCTCATCATCCGTCAGACTGTTCAGTTTTTTGTCGACCACCTGGAATGGAAAAAGGGTTTTGTGAAATGGATAAAAAACGCGATGTCGGTGAAAAATAGTGTAAATTCAATTGATTTTGTCGCAAACTGATTAGTAATGGGTGAAAATAGCCCTACAAAACCTCAAATTAGAATCCTGACTCCATATTTCTGAATTTAGCTTAAAACCCCAGTAGATTCATAACAATAGACCCGGAACTGCTACAAAATTTCTCGAATTCGGCTAAATTTGGCCTGAATAGGCTAAAATTGGTCTAAAATAGCTAGCAAATACTCAACTGCTATGCTGTAACTGCTAATGTCTCATCTGCTATATTTGACTCTTCTGCTATGAATCAACTGCTATGGCTATAGCAGTTGAGACATTAAAAGTGTCGAAAATAGCAGTTGATCCATAGCAGAAGAGCCAAATATAGCAGTTGAGACATTAGCTATAGCAGTTGATCACCCCATAGCAGTTGAGTATCTACCAAAATAGCTCAAACTGTGCCAAGAACTGCCTAGATTTGCTTAAAAAGTATCAGCCAATTTCAACGGAAATTTCTCAAATTTGCAACAAAATGGCTTGAAATTCACTGGATTTTTCCTAAAATACCTCAAATTGGCCTAAATTTAATAGGATTTAGACCCCTACCTCCAAAAACTCGGGACAATTCTCCACAAAACTCCTCATCGAGCTCGCACTCTGCGCATTCGTCTTATCTCCATAAGTCCTCAAAAACAGATCAGTATCCTCCTTAGTCATAGTGGCCCACGTGGAATCATAGGTGGGAGCAAACGAAGAAAATGGTCCATAATTCAAATAGTTCACAGGAGCCTGTGAGAACAGGCGGTGCTCCTGGAGCTGAAGCATTCCAGCAGTTCCCTCTTCCAATGGGCCAACGATGTCTCCAATGGTTAGACGACGTTGATGTTCTGACTGATTCTCAGAAGACGTTCCAGCCACCACATTCAACACGACAGTGCCATTTCTCTCGGATAGAAAACCCATATTCGCCTTGTTCTCTGCATTTTTGAGGTTTGGAATTCTCGCCGAAAGTCTATCCCGGACTTTGACGTCAGCACTTTGGAGGCATTCTTCAGAAGTCATATCGTCTTTGACGAATCCTTTTCGGCGATTGATTTGACGCTCTGGTGGCAGGTTATTCAGGGGACGGATACCGATGAGCTCGAATGGGATCTTGTTGGCTGATGGGAGGGTGTGGAAGAGATAACGGAGATATTGTTCGCCGAAATAATAGTTGACAAGATTCATGAGGCGACGGGCGGCCAGGTGGAAGACAGTCGTCGGTTGATTGTATTGAATAGCGTTCGCGACGATCAGTGCACAATCTGCTTTCATATCGGGGAGTGTCGCGTACTTGCCATCTTCGATTTTTTCACTGAAAACTGAGGTTTTGTTGAAGGTTTTCGTGGAAAATATGAAGTATTTTGGGGCAAATTTGGCAAAAAAAAATGAGGGTAGATACTCAACTGCTATGGGGGTGATCAACTGCTACGTTGAAACTTCTAGTGTCTCAACTGCTATAGCTATAGCAGTTGATCCATAGCTGAAGAATCAAATATAGCAGTTGAGACACTAGCCGTTGAGTCATAGCAGTTGAGTACTTGCTCACTTTTTGAGTCAAAAATCGTCAAATCGGAGCTAATTAGGTTCAATTTTGAGAGGATTTTTTATAAATTGGATTCCTGTTGAATGGGAACTAAGCCGTTTTCCGGTAGATTTTCAGCAAATTTTTTACTACATCAAGCCAATTTTAGAATATTTTCGAGGTACTTTTATTAAAATTTGAGCTATTTTTGGGTCAGAACTGCTGAAAATTCTGAACCAAACCTGGGAAAACTTCCGCTGTTTTCAGAGAAACAATGTCATAAGAAATGGAGCATTTCCAAACAAAACTGCTCAATTTTAGGTCGAAATTCTGCAGTTTTCCATGATTTTGAACCAAAAATCATCCAATTTCAGATTTCAGAAATCTCTAGTTTCACTAAATTTTAAACCTGATTTCGCTCTAAAATTCTCTCAATTCGGGAGCAAACTTGTTTCAAAATTGAGCAAAATTGACAATAAAATGACGAAATCTCCGCAAAAAACGTTTTTTTTTTCAAGTTGCGAAAGTTTTCTTTTACTTTTACTAGTTACTAGGGTCGTCTTTGAAATGAAAAACTGGTTTTTCGGGTGGCCAGATCGATATGACTGTTATCAAGTTGTCAACATTTTTTCGGATTTTGATTTCGATGCCATTTTTTTAATCGATTTTTCGTTCCGTACCGAATAGTCTGTAAATCCATGGGATCCTTGATAATCTCATGATAATCCGGAGCCATATCTTGTGTCACCGGGAACGAGAAGTACTGCTCCGGGTCTTTTTCAGCGAGTTTTCGAATGATGTGATCCTGCATCAATTGGATCGGAGTGTAACTGGAGAACGATGGAGGTTTCCGTGGTGGCGGAGGGGTGGGCTCCCGCTCCACCTCCTCTTCCTCTTCTACCTCCATCTCCTCGACCTTCTCCTTTTCCGCTTCCCTGGCAGCTTTCCTCGCCGCGATTTTCTTTTTCTTTAGATGATAATCGGTCAACGGGACTCGCTTCTTTTTCCGCGTGCCACCTCCTGGAGTTTTCCTTGATGGAGTTTTCACCTCATCCGCTGAGTCTTCTGACTCTTCCTCCTCGGATTTCTCTGGATCACTTGGATCATTTTGATATTCGTCCTCTTCTGGCTCCTCTCGTTTCACTCGTTTCGCCGCGCGAGCTGATGAACGGGGAGCTGCTGGTGTGGAGGAGGAGGCGGCCGATGGG